AAAGTATTCTATTGAGTTCGGTCATTCGAACCTTTATTTTGGTCGACCAAAACTCCCCTCATGCGCCTGTCTTCCAGATTTGTTCCAACACTGAAGTTCTGAATTCAAATGGCCATAACTTCTTTGTTTCTAACCCAAATGGGGTGATTCTTGGGCCTAAACTCAAGGATTTTGAGTCCAATTTCTAATGATACCAATCTCATTCCTAGATTCAAATCATAGTTGAAGTTATTAATGTTTTAGTGGGACAGTGTTAGTTTTCGCTTAAACCGGGAAGGGGCATTTTGTGGGATTTTTGTCCAAAGTTCTTGGAATCTCTTGGAATGTTATGAAATGATTAAATTAGGTTGTATTAACCTTATTTGACTTGTTTAGAGTCAAATTTCCCTTCTCAATTGTAAATTGACCATTTTGCCCTTGATTGACGAATTTTGCCCATTTTGATTCCTAGTCCTTTTTTTTGCTCTCTGTAACTTCCGTTACTTCATGGAAGGTCACACCAGCATCTTAGGGATGACTTCTAACTCTAGAGACCTTGGTTTACCTTTTGTTCCTGCATTTGGATCCGTTATTGGATAAACTTATGGGTCATCACTGACATACCGAGTTGAAAAACCTGGGTCGTTACAAGTGGTATCGAGCTCCTAGGTTCGAAAACCTTAGGACGACGGGTTTTGGATGCATATCATACTTTTGTTGACATGCTTAGATATGTTTACGTGTTTATATGGTCTTGACTCGCGGAGAGTCTTCTCGTCACATTGGAATGGAAGAGCAAGTTGAGGAGCAAGTTGCAGACACCGGGCTCGCACGGGGTCCAGGGAGGCCTAGGGCTCGACCTCGTGGCGTGGATCCTAATACACCACAAGCGCCGACTTATGAGGAGCAGATTGCACAGGGAGTGGCTATGGGGATGTCAGAGTCCATTCAGGCGATGTTTCATCAGCATATGGTAGGGATGCAGATTCAGGTACTGGCACCAGCACCGACACCAGTTGCCAATGAGGCATTGGACTACTTTATGAAGTTACAACGGGTTAAGATCGAACAGTTTGCAGGGAGTATGGATTTACTTGCTTTAGAGGCATGGTTTAATCTCATGGTACGCAAGCTTGATAGCATGGGAGTACCTACAAACCGATTGAGGATCTCCTTGACTGCCTCTATGTTTATGGGAGATGCCGATATCTGGTGGAGGTCCATAACCAATATCCATGGTGTGGAGGTGATGACATGGGAGGAGTTCAGGACATTGTTCTTCGACCGTTTCTTTCCGAGGGCTATGAGGTAGGACATGAGAGTGTAGTTCACAGGTCTCTATCAGGGAAGGATGAGTGCCATTGAGTATGAGACACGCTTCACTTCTCTTTCCCACTATGCACTGGAGATGATAGCTACAGAGAAGCTCGGGGCGAGGAAGTTTCAGGATGGGTTACATCTTGATATTAGGCCACGGATTTCAGTATTAGAATTGAGGACCTACGGGGAGGTTGTACAGAAAGCTATGTTGGTTAAGGCAGAGGACCGAGATCAGCTCAGGATCAAGGGTTTATATAAGCAGTCTCATGGAGAGGCTTCATCAGTATCCATTGGGGGTCAGTGGAAGAAGGCTAAGACCGGGGACAGTTCACGTACTCAGGGACAGTCACAGCAGGCTTGGTCTGTACCTGTACTTCCAGTATCATCGGGGTCAGCCCGGGGAGTGATTTGTCACCACTGTCAGCAGTCTGGGCATATCAAGCCTTGTTGTCCGCAGCTTCAGCCATAAACCAGTCAATCACAGGCTAGTAAGCGTACAGCTTCGACAAAAAGGTCTCAGTGGACTTGTAACTATTGCAAGCAGCTCAGTCACATGAGGAAGGATTGCCCTCATCCACAGAGCAAGGAACAGAGTGGCACAGGTTCATAGGCCACACAACACAGTCTACAGTTGCTCAGTTAGGTTTTAGGGTGCCTCAGGCACCACAGCCAGTGGCACCGCCAGTTGGTTCTTATCCGGGTAGGGGTTCTACGCCTACTGCTTCCAGACATCAGTCGAGCCACCAGGGCAGTTCTCAACAGTCGGGGGCTCAGGGACGAGCTTATACATTGCCACAGGCCGATACCTCCACTGGGACTTCTACAGCTTGAGGTATCTTTCCAGTTTTCAGTTCTTGGGCTAGAGTTCTTGTTAACACAGGTGCATCACATTCATTCATATCTGCTTCATTTGCACATTCTTTGGGTCTAGAGGTCACGCAGCAGGATGGTTTCCTTTGTGCTGACACACCAGTTGGGGTACAATGTTTTTAGACCATGTTTGTCAGGGTTGTGTTATCGAGATAGCTGGGCAGACATTAGAGTTTAATTTTGTTGTTCTTGACATGACGGGCTTCGACATCATTCTTGGGATGGACTGGTTGTCTTTCTTTCATGCCACGATCGATTGCTTCCGCGGGTGAATGTCTGTTTGCACTCCCAAGGGAGATTATTTTCATTTTGTGGGAGATTGGAGCGATTCCTACCCAGCGATAGTTTTCAGTATCAGTGACTGGAGTTGCCACAGGTCCTACTTGGCTAGCCTGTTAGCTGACAAGGACAGTAGTTCAGGCCATGTTTTTCTAGCAGTTGTTGTGGAGTTTTAGGATGTCTTTCCAAAGGAGTTGACGGAACTTCCTCCTCTTCGGGAAGTTATCTTTGCCATCGACGTCATTCCCGATACTACATCGATCTCTATGGCACCGTACCGCATGGCACTGGCAGATCTTGATGAGCTAAAAGCTCAATTGGATGATTTGAAAGCTAAGGGCTTTATTTGTCCTAGTGCTTCACCCTGGGGAGCACCGGTTCTTTTTGCGAAGAAAAAGGATGGGTCTTTGAGACTTTGCATCGATTATCGCAAGCTGAACCATGTCACAATAAAAAATATGTATCCTTTGCCTAGGATTGATGACTTGTTTGATCAGTTGAAGGGAGCAACATGTTTTTCGAAGATTGATTTGAGATCAGGTTACTATCAGTTAAGGGTTAAGGATGAGGATGTATCCAAGACCACTTTCCACACACGGTATGGCCATTATGAGTTTCTGGTGATGCCATTTGGTTTGACCAATGCTCCAGCAGCTTTCATGGACTTGATGAACTGTGTATTCAGTGACCATATTGATCAGTTCGTTGTGGTTTTTCTTGATGACATTCTCATATACTCAGCTTCGGTAGAGGAACATAAGTATCATTTGAGGATAATATTGCAGATCCTTAGGGATAATCGGTTGTACGCCAAGTTTAAGAAATGCGAATTTTGGCTATCGGAAGTGAAGTTCCTTGGACATGTTGTGTCAAGGGGCGGTGTTGTAGTGGATCAGTCTAAGATTGAATCGGTGATGGATTGGGAACTAAAGACATCAAAAATGATCCGGGCTTGGTATGGTTCGTATTGCTAAGAACGGGTCAGGTATGGATAGCCAGGATGGAGCAAGTCCATGCTGAATGGGCCTAGATCTAAGAAGTCATTGCGGAAGCCCATGTTATGATAAAAGAAGTCGAGTCCAGCTAAAAGAGAACAAGATAGGTCCAGCTCAGTGGTGGTTATAACTGTCTATAAATAAAGGGGATTGAGAGGGAAAAGTAGTTGAAAATCATTGGGATTGTAAAGTTTCTCTCTCTACAATTAGGGAAAAATTCTTTGTACTTTTAATTGGCGCCATTTGTGGGAAGAACAGGGAGGATTGATTATGTTGATCCAGATTGATTCGATTCAAAGCACTCTATGAAGAAGACGATTAATCTCTGAAAGCTAAATCAAAATTTATGAAAATACGATCTATCTTAATGAGTCTTGGTTCCAGTTGATTTCGAGAGGTTGGCGTCCGATCCATGCAGATCTGATCTGTGCTTTATCCGGCGAGTTGCACAGTTGTGATTTATTGAGATTACTAAATCCGGCCAGTAGCGAACAGAATTCAGCAAGTGTGAGTCCAGATCTGGTGCGTGTGCTTTAGCGAAGCTCCGATCTGATCAAGCAATCTGCGGTTGATGACTTTGCTCCGATCTGGAATGATGATCGGAGAGAAGAGGCTTAAATCCTTTGGAAAATGGCCAGCAGACGAAGATCGATGAGCTGATGAACATGATCGACGCCTTGAGGAAAGAAAATGCAGAGTTACGTGCTGGAATGGAGCGTCGTGAGGCTCTTACAATTCTGAGGCCCCCTTCTGAAGAAGAGGGAGTCTTACCGTCCCATGTTGTTCTTCAAGGTGATCCAGAAGGTGTTAATCATATTGATCCATATCATGATGAAGTTATAATAGATGATCTGCCTCCAAATGTCCTTCAAGTAGAGGATCGAGAAGGATCTATTCATTTGGAGCCACATCGCGAATGGATTATGAGAGAGGAAGCGCCAGTGCGTGATCATAGGGTTGTATCACCATAGCGAAGTGAGTTTGCAGAGGACAGATCATTTGATCCATCTTATCGACCTTCAATGGCAACATTTGACTACCACAGTTCAGAAAGGAGATCTGCCGATCGGGGAGTTCTATCACGGTTTTCGGGGAGAATGAAGCATTGTACTTATCAGCAAGGACGGTTGCATCTCCATTCACTGATGAAATTTTGAACGCGCCGAATTTGAAGAAGTTTTCCATGCCGATCTTCATTCTGTTTGATGGAACAACAGACTCGGTTGACTACATCTACCATATTCAGTTGAAAATGGCTCTGAATACTAACAATGATCCTTAGATATGCAAATGCTTCCCTACAAGCTTTGCTGGACCAGCCCTCATTGGTTCAAGAATCTGGCTTAGGGCTCAATCGCTAGTTTCCAGGACTTGTGTGATAAGTTCATAAGCCAGTACTATGGGAATAAACGTCCGGCAAAGGATGTATCAAGCCTTTTCATAATGAGGCAGCACGAAGATGAATGACTCCAAGCTTTCCTCACCTGGTTCAACCTGGTTAAAAGTATGGTAATGGAATGTCATCCATCCACAGCGGTCTAAGCATTTAAACTCGCAATGAACCGGGGGACACCATTCCACACAAGTTTAGTGGTCAATACGCTGAAGACCATGGACGAGCTGAACGAGAGAGCTGATGGTTTTGTTCATCTTGAGGAAGAAGAGGCAACTAATTCAAGGAAGATGTCAATTATTTCGACAGAAGAGAAGTCCAAAGCCAAGATCCGGTAAAAACAAGCTCTGCCGCAACGTTATACCTCATGGAAGGCAGAGAAAAGGCCCAGGGAAGAGGAATCGGTTACTCTACTCAGAGTCACGTTGGCAAGGCTGTACCAAGAAAATAAAGATAAGTTTCGCCCTCCTTTGCTAATCAGACAACCTTTCGAACAGAGGGATCAAACTAAACATTGTGCTTTCCATAGTGATTTTAGGCATCAGACTAACGAATGCAGGAACCTAAGGAGGCAAGTGGAGATGTTAATCGCAAAGGGGGAATTTGCAGGCTATGTTCAAGGTCTGGCATAAGAGCAGAACCGACCGACTAAACAGATCAAGCGAAACCAGAGGCCGAACCATCACAACACTCTGCCCGTTCAGATTATAAATACAATTCATAGCCAACCTAAACAAACGACGGAGTTAGAGGAGTTGCTCAGAACGCGGTTACGCCAAGCCTAGTTGAAGAGAAGGATTGGCAATGTGTATGCTTTACACCAGTAGAACACATCCATGCTGATAAAGTTTAACAGAATAGACCTACTACGCATTCAAATTGCTTATGAAGATCCACTAGTCGTCAGTCTAACAGTTGCAGAATGCTTGGTTCAAAGAGTTCTGATTAATCCAGGAAGTAGTGCAAATGTCATGCCCAGAGTGACGTTCGACCGACTTAAGATCAAACCCGAGAAACTTAAACCCACAGGAAATCCATTGCTCGGATTTGATGGGAAGCGGGTGGAGCCCAGTGGCATGGTGGAATTGACAGTCCAAGCTGCTGAGAGAGTTCTGATTGAGAGTTTTGTGGTCGTGGAAATTCATCCATCCTACAACCTCTTGATGGGAAGAGGGTGGATTCACAGAGTTCAGGGTGTCCCATCAACCCTACATCAAGTGATGCGATGCTTGGGTCCAGATGGGACCAAGGTGATTGACATTCATAGGGACCAGGTTGCAGCTAAAGAATGTTATTCAATGACTTTGAAATCTGCTGGAAAAGGGAAAAATCCCATCTGTTCTGCCAGTCCAAGATAGCAATTACAGGAGCCTCTACCCAACAAAGATGGGGAGGATGAGCCACCAGTTCTGACTACAGAACCTCTTCTTGATGTGAAGATCGACCATAAGAAACCGGACCGAACAATGAAGGTGGGATCTAGACTTTTTGAAGAGGAAAAACTAGGGTTGATTAACTTCTTGACTCGGAATGCAGATGTATTCGCATGGAGCCATTCAGATATGCCAGGGATTAGTCTTTCTGTGTCCTTCCATTCCCTCAATGTAGATCCGAATGCAAAACCTATGAAGTAAAAGCAGAGAAGATTTGCTCCAGAACGAAATCGGATCATAGTTGAGGAGATTGATCGGTTGCTCGAGGCAGGATTCATTAGAGAAGTTCAGTACCCGGCCTGGCTCTCCAATGTCAATGTGGTGCAGAAAAAGAATGGGAAATGGAGAGTGTGTATTGACTTCACTAATCTGAACAAAGCTTGCCCAAAGGATAGCTTCCCATTGCCAAGGATTGATCAAATGGTCGACGCCACCACAAGATATGAGCGATTAACCTTCCTGGATGCTTATTTCGGTTATAATCAAATCCCCATGAACCCAATCGATGAAGAGAAAACTTCTTTTGTTACTGAACGAGGGACTTACTGCTACAAAGTCATGTCGTTCGGATTAAAAAACGCTGGAGCTACTTATCAGAGGCTGATCAACAAGATTTTCAAAAGCCAAATGGGGAGAACTGTTGAGGCCTACATTGATGATATGGTGATCAAGAGTAAGAAGAAAAATGATCATTTAGTGCACCTACAAGATGTGTTCAATATGTTGAGGCAATACGGGATGAAGCTTAATCCGGCCAAATATTCATTTGGCGTGAGTTCTGGTCAATTTTTGGGACATGTAGTCAATCATAGAGGAATTGAGGTCAGCCTAGCGCAGGCAGAAGCTCTGATCAGAAATGCAGAACCAAAGACGACTAAGGGGGTGCAGGCACTCACAAGTCGAATAGTTGTGCTGAGCCGATTCATCTCTAAGCTCTTAGACCGTTGTAAACAATTCTTTGATACAATTCGAGGCCATGGACAATGCCAGTTTTCGCTTAAACCGGGAAGGGGCATTTTATGGGATTTTTGTCCAAAGTTCTTGGAACCTCTTGGAATGTTGTGAAATGATTAGATTAGGTTGTATTAACCTTATTTGACTTGTTTAGAGTCAAATTTCCCTTCTCAATTGTAAATTAACCATTTTGCCCTTGATTGACGAATTTTGCCCGTTTTGATTCCTATTCCTTTTTTTTTTTTGCTCTCTTTAACTTCCGTGACTTCATGGAAGGTCACACCAGTGCCTTAGGGTTGAATTCTAACTCTAGAGACCTTGGTTTATCTTTTGCTTCCTCATTCGGATCCGTTACTGGATAAACTTATGGGTCATCACTGACGCACCGGGTTGAAAAACCTGGGTCGTTACAAAGAAGGTTTGGTTATTTAATACATGATTGAAACTTTTTCCTAGCAAGCTGAAGTCATGTTGGGAAGGTCCATACATAGTTGTTTCTGTTACATCTTATGGTGCGATTAAAATACAAGATTGCAAGACTGGACAACTGTCCAAAGTCAATGGACACAGACTTAAGCCCTACATAGAGGGTAGTGTGCAGAGAGGCATAATGGAGACAGTAGAACTTCATGATCATATTTACTTGGACTAGAGAGGTTAGTTTTCGTCGAGCTATCGACGATAAACTTAGCATGTTATCGAGCTATCAACATTAAAAGTAGCATTTATATGTTGTACCATAGTTTTATTTTTATCTCTAGTTTTTGCTTTTGTGTGTAATTTAATTATTTTTCTAGGTTTTAGTTAATTTTTATGTTTAGTTTAGTTTAGGTTTAGAATAAATAAGAAAAAGTTAATAAAAATAAAAATAAATACAAAAATTTTAAAAAAAATTTCAATACTCGAGCCTTCAATTTGAAGCTCGAGCATCAGTTACTAAAGGCTCGAGCCTGTATATGCTAAGCTCAAGCCCTTTATCATTGTTAATGATAGGGTTTGTGGTGGCAGGCTCGAGCTCTTATCCGTTAAGCTCGAGCCTTAGGTTCTAAAAGTTTTTAAAACCAGAACCTGAGTACTCCGTCTCCAATTACATATCGGACATCTCTTCTCTATAAAGTCTCTCTCCAAGTTTTCTCTCTATATTCATACCCCATAATGCATGACATTCTTCTCTTAGATTTGCCGGCAATATTCAGGTAAAGTTCTTCTTCTTCAACCTTTTTCGATTATCTCTTCCTTAGATAATTAAATTCCTAGATCTAGATCAGGAAAACATCACTTACTCTTTGGATAAATGATTCTTTGGACTTTTATACATCATCAACATATACTAGTTATTTAAATCAATTCTTGATTGATTTGTGCATTGATTTCTGAGATCTGTTTTGGTAAAGTCCAGGTAGAGCTCTAGCTCTGCAACTTTAAGCTTGAGCATTGATTAAAGCTCGAGCCAAGAAGGTCAAGCTCGAGCCTCAGTTTCCAGATTATAGGAATTGGAGAATTTTGGGTGATTTTGGGGATTTTCTTAAAGGATACTATTAATTGAAAATAGAGATGGTTCGTCCTACTCCTTCTAAGCGCGCTAGGGTGATTAGAGATGTTTTGCCAAGTGCTTGGAAGACAATTCCAATTTCTTATGAGACGACCTTTGATTATCATACGTTCATCACTGATCCTCGCACTAGATGGGCTATGAAGTCTTTCAGTTACAGGCACCTTTTACATCTTATGGCCCCTATTACTAACATCGCATATCCTCATCTTGTTCATTTGTTTTATCTCAATTTTATTTATAGTGAGAATGACCCTTGGGAGCTTAGGACTATGATTGATGGGTATGAGTTAATTATCAATCCTTATACCATTGCTGCAGCTTTAGAATGTTATCATACACTTCCTGAGGTGGTAGATGAGAGGCATAGTTATCCCACTTTCACACATTTCCCTAGGGTACCGATTGCAGAAAATTTAATTCAAAAGCTGTGTGATGGTCGATTTGCTAGGAGAAAGCGAAGTACTACTACCAAGGCCAAGATTCCAAAGAGGTTATGGATTCTAGATTCTATCATCTCTGCTAATGTCCATCCTCTTGGATATAAGAATATTAGGAATGCTAATTTTCACCAGGCATTATATGCTATTCAGTTTGAGCATTGGTATTCGTTTCCTAGGATGATTTTCTGCAACTATTGGAGTTTTGGTCAGAAATTGGACCACACAAGACTGTTCCTACACATATGCTACCTTTTTCCATATATGATTACTAGACTGTTAGAGCTGTAGGGTTTTGTGGTAGGTCTGAAAGAGGAATCGTGTGATGAATCTCCAAAGTTTGGAATAAGGTGTGGACACATATACCGGCACATCGCCACAATACAGTAGAGTTTGCTGATAAGGGATACATTGCGGTTACTGCTAGGAGGGCAGATGATGATGAGGCTATAAAGGATGAGATGGATCTCTCTGATAGCCAGGCCCCACCGAGGAGGAGGCCCGTTCTTGCAGCCTAGCTTGAGAGTTCTTCTCAGGCTGAGATTAGAGTATTACAGGCATAGGTGACAGAGTTGTAGGATGGACAGGCAATCCTATGGCAGATGCTGACTGCGTAGTAGAGTATTTTAGAGGAGTTATTGCGCCGTACTCCATCCGCGCCTTCTACATCTACTGATACTCCTCCACCACAGATAGATTAGCTGTCTAGGGCTTTTTTATATTTCTTTTTGTTAGATAGGCATTTTTGTCGACTAGGGCAGTTTTTTGGATGTATTAATTTCTTTATGCTGTGTATCTGGCCTAAGTCTATTATTTGGAAAGCATTGTCCTAATCTTTATCATTTATATTGATACTTTTTGCCTATACTATCCTTGTGTTAATGTTTGTTCTACATGTGATATTCCTCTATTATTACTCCATATGCTTGATACTCTGATGTGTGTTGGAGTTTGTTGATTTTGTCAGATACTGTAGATTAAGTTTGGGGGTGATTTCTCCATTTTTACCCTTCACTGGTCTGCTTGTATGGTAATATCTTTCTAAATCCCTTTTATTCTCACACATTGAGGACAATGTGCAAAATAAGTTTAGGGTAAGGTACAATTGGGTGAAATTTAAAATTTTGCTAACACAAGGACATGATATGATAGTTGATGTTATAAGTATGAGTTTGAGTCTGTTGATTGTCATATATTCAGTTTGTAGTCTGATGTTGGTTAGAAATGGTTTGTATGCTAAAAATTGTGAAAAGGTATTCTTGAAATTTTGAAATCAGTTGGTAGCCTATGGCCCACTTTGTTAGGATGATCCTTATTTAATTAAATTAATCTCTGAGATGCTACACTTTGCACATATTCACTCTTGCATGCATTCTGTGGGGTAAACACTAGAAGTCTTGTTTTGTTTTGAGTTAAATTGAGATGAGCAGGTGGATTTGATAATTTTGATAACCAAGGCATAAAAAAACAGAGAAGAAAAAAATAGATTGAAATGTATGCAATGCAATAAAAGAAAAAATTCTTTGCCAATGTGAATGAAAGAAAATAAAAAATAAAAAATAAAAAAAAGTGAAGAAAAGAAGAAAAAAAAATGATCAAGTTCAGGTCTGTACCTAGATTGCTTGAGCAATTAAGTCTTTCGGGGTGTGTTCTGACACGTAATGCCCTAAGACCATCTGGTCTAGGAGTCATTGGCTTAAAGTTCGTTACATGGGTGATCTAAAAAGCTTAATAGACCTGAATATTGCACAGTATCCTTTTTGAAAAATGCATACCTTAGAAAAAAAAATAATAAATGCCTTGGGAGTTAGAATTTGAAAGGTTTGCCTATGAATTGAGGAATAGCAAGGAACGAATGCAAGCACGGATAGTAAGCCACACATTTAATTATAAGATCACTTTCAAAAAGTGTCTTGGAAATTAAGATTGTTGAATGAATGATTAAAATGACATGTGGGTACCACGGCTGGTAAATTAAA